TGTCGCTCCTGCTGGGTGTTACCAGGTCCAGCAGTGGCAAGAGGACCTCTCATTTCCTTGCTAGTCTGTCTTGGGTTGAATGAGGTCACGTGATAGCCGTTTGGGAAATTCAGTGGATGAAATATTCCTCCTTAGGGAATTCACAGCCTAGCAGTGTGTCTTTGGTTTACGTTGAATTGACATCATGATGGATACCCTAGACTTCACGCTCAAATTGGTTACAGAAGCAACGGTTTTAGCGACCTGGCATTGCTACAGGCTGGATGACTGAAGGATCGGTGTTCGATTTCCGGCAGGGGCAAGAGACTTTCCTTTACATATTTCAGACCGGAACTAAGGCTCACCCACTCTCCTGGACATTAGATTGTAGGTAAAGCAGCCGGGGCGTGGAGCTACCATACATCTCGTGGGAATGAGTGGATCTACACCTCCAGTCCCCTATACAGCTTCATGTTGTGGTGCTTGATTAAACACAAGGGAAATTTTACAGCAATTTTTATCCTTCTTTTGGGGGTAAAGTGAAAGAAGCCTGAAGGTAATATTATATACGATAATGTCGATTAGTTTTTTACAGTCTCACGTGCAACGCTGTGTTCTATGAAATTAATTAAAAGTCATTCACTTTAAAAGTTTATTACTACAGGCTTCGATCAATGTAGTCATTTTCAACTGTTAAAATTATTGGGCAAGGAAACTGTCTTCTCTTTCATAAGTCCCCTCGATGCGCACGTGTGTTTGAGTTGGTGGGTTGTGGTGTGCTGCGTGTCTTGTTCTCGAATGCGCATGTGTGTTTGAGTTGATGGGTTGTGTTGTCTCCTGTTGTGTGTTGTGCTGCGTGTATTGTTCTCGAATGCGCATGTGTGTTTAAGTTGGTGGGTTGTGTTGTCTCCTGTTGTGTGCTGTGCTGCGTGTCTTGTTTTCTAATACTTCAGAACTAATCGACACTAAGCGAAAAGTGCAACGGGATGCTACAATCTAATATTATATACGATCTTATGGATATCTCAATAAATTGTGGTGTGATCCAGATGGTTTGGGTTTGGTTTTCGACAGGGTCAGAATGTTTTATCTTCACGGCTCCAGGTCAATACCTAGCCTTTTCAATTATATGCAGGGCATAACGTGGAAGTAGAGTGAAGCTTACATCTTTATGGCTATGTCACACTTTGCTTTGCCAAACTTACGGGAGGAAAGTCTTGTGTAAGTTTACATTGAGTATTTTTACATCGATCAATATAACTTCCATACAAATATACAAAAATAGATTATTTGCTTTAAAGTAGAGTTGTGAGACGCCGAGACTCGCATATTTTCTAGACAATCGGCTCACAGATGGCGGTAAGGTTGTCAGCCTTACGCGCCGGCCGCCTTTTACCCCCAGGAAGATTTCTGGTACTCTTCTGTTAGAGGCTGAGTCGACCCCAGGGCCATAGTGCTGCTAGAAGGATTAGGTAAATTGAAAATCCAATAACCTCTTCGGGAATCGAACCCTCTACCTTCCGGCTTGTAGCATAGTGTCTCAACCAACTGCGCTAGCGCGTGCTCCGTTGCCTAGGTATGAGTGTTTTTGTACTAGCAACCTGAAGGAGACGCGCAGTAGCCCCGTCGAGGCACATTCCGAAAAGACCTATCTTTTATATTCGGCTTGTTGGTTTTGTATGGTCAGGAGCTGTAGGACTATTGTACACGGGCCCAGGACGCAGGATGTTACTGTCAGCTTGTGGAGATGGAAGTTCATTGTTCCTGCTCAAAGTAGTGACATGTAGCCGATGGAAACGTGTAGACGCTGCCTGTGGCTTCGCGAAGTTTCCACTGTTCAAAAGCTGTATGGTGGCCATAGCAGACACCCTGCACACAATAAGCAGCGCAGGCGGGGGGTCATCGAAATGAAGTTTCCTTCTTGAAAGACACAAATATTCAGTAAAGTTGGCAGTTCTTTTGAGGGGCAGGTTTTATTATAAACACTGGAATAAAAGAAGAAGCTAAGAATAACTCACTCAGTAAAGAAAAATAATAGATGAAATGTGAAAGAAGAATTATTGGCACGTGTGGGATAGATGGCACTCGTGATGTTCCTCGTCTTTTGTGGAACCCGAAGGTTCATTACTGTGTTCACAGGACCCACCGCCACTGGTCCACTTCCCGAGCTAGACGAATTCATCGCATAACCTCATAATAGGTTTAAGGTAAATTTGAGCCATTTAGCAGTTCGAAGCCTAGTCGTTACAATATGTACCACCTGCTTTAACATACGAAATCTCTGCATTCTGCCCACTCAGTGTATTTGTGTGTTCCATATGGTTCTCACAATAAACAGCGGCTGTTTCCCCAAACAGCATTAACCGGTTGGTCTCTGTAGCGGAGACGTAATGTGTTTCCTGTGAGGTACGGACTGGATTCTTATATATAAAGTCTCTGCATTCTGCTCACAGAGTTTATTTGTGTGTTCCATGTGGTTCTCACAATAAACAGCGACTGTTTCCTAAACAGCATTAGCTGTTGTAGCTGAGACGTAATGTTTCCTGTGAGGTACGGACTGAATTCCTACATATAAAGCCTCTGCGTCCTGAGACCGGCCAGCTCGACCAAGGTTTTCCGTGGTTTTCCTCGGTACTAGAGCAAATGCTGAGTTGGTACCCAAATTCCACGTTGCACTGCCATTGTTAAAATCAAAATTTCGCCTTAACATAGCCCTCCCAACGTTAGAAAAAACAAAAATAAAAATAAAAATCCGATCATATGCTCTATCTTTACCAGAAGGACAAGCGGGCACTGCCTGGGAACCTTCAAAATCGGAGATGTAGTTTCTTACCCCCCCTCCAATGTAGTGTCTGTCACTACCACCCCCAGTTCTCTCTCTCTCTCTCTCTCTCTCTCTCACACAGTTTATTTATGTGTTCCATGTGGTTCTCACAATAAACAGCTACTGTTTCTCCAAACAGCATTAACCGGTTGGGCTCTGTAGCGGAGACGTAATGCGTGACTATGACCGCAAGTGTTCAACTGAAAAAAAAATGCTGGTCGTGAGTCTCAAGGGGTTTGTCACCAAGACGAACTGATTGGCGGTAAACCGCCATACAAAGAAAAAAAAAGGTAAAGCCATCCGTGTAACAGGCCGTGAAGGCCCATAGGGTTATGACAAGTTGAGGCTCCACATTTCCTAGACAGTCGGCTCATAGATTGCGGTAAGGTTGTCAGCCTTACGCTCCGGCAGCCTTCCTGGTAGTCATTTGTGCTAGAGGCTGAGTCGACCCCAGGGCACTAGTGCAGCTGTAAGGATTAGGTCAATTGAAAAAATCCAATGACCACATCTGGTTTCGAACCTGCAAACTGCCGGTCTTAAGGTAATTCTAAATTTTATTTTGAGTTGAGCTGTTGGTGTCCCCGAGTGAAGGCGGGTTCGAATACCTCTTCCCTAACCCTGCAAATCGTAGATGAAGAAAAGAATCCATGTCAGGCCATGTAGCACGCAAGGGAGAAAAGTGCATATAAACGTGTGGCAGGGAAACAAGAAGAAAGAACCAGTAGAAAGACCTAGAGGTAGATGGGAAGAAATGGATCTTAAATAAATTGTGTGTGGGGGGGGGCTGGATTCGTGTGGCTCAGAATAAAGACCAGAGAAAGGCTGTTATGAATGCGGTAATGAATCTGCGCGTTCCATTAACAACTGTTGGCCTCTGATGGAGGTTTCAGCTCCATGGAGTTAGGAAGATGGTTGGTTGGTTGCTTGGTTGGTTAACTCCTAGTTTAATCCTCATTTTCAGTCATTCTCAGTCTAAACATTCTCGAAATGGCGTCATCACCAGATAGTGACATAAATCGTTACGTCATCATTAGAAAGTTAGTAGATTCCATTTTCAGCACGGGATGCGAACCCAAATCGCCATACTATAGATCTCCCTGAACAGACAGGGACTTTTCTTCCGTAAGGTTGCCTGCCTGTACCTTCAAAGATGTCACAGACGAGCAAAAACTTAATATTATCCACGGGCTTAATTAAGCAGCAAGCCTTGAAGGCGAATGGGGGAGTGGAGGTATAGCTGAACCATTCTTAATCTAGGTACTAGATGGAGGTGATTGGTCAGCTTCACGTCTCGGCCGCTTTGCCTCCGAAAAATCAGCTTCCGGTATCCACTGTATAGGATGGTGGGCGTCCTTAGAGACGGTTTGGACTTTATAGAGAGAGAAAGAATTTCTTGCTCCTGCCGGAAATCGAACCCGGACTCCTCGGTTGTGCAGCCTTTAGATTAATTGCTGTTATGATTGATGTATACCGGCAGCTCATTCACTTACTCTTGGAGCTGAGCCCTTCTTGAGGAGAAGCCAAACTCTGCAGCTGCTCAAGAATTTCCCAGCATTTTATGGAATCCGAAGGTTCATTACCGTGTTCACAAGAGCCCTCCACTGGTCTCTATCCTGAGCCAGATCAATCCAATCCATAACCATCCCGTCCTCTCAGACCCATTTTCTTATTGTTCACCCACCTACGCCTTGGTCTTCCCAGTGGTTTCTTTCCTTCTGGCTTTCCCACCAATATCCTATATGCATTCCTGTTCGCCCCCCATTCGTGCTACATGCCCTGCCCACTTCATCCTATATGGAATTGAATCCACATTAATTGCATTTAGCAAACCAAGACTCGAACCAGGTGCTTCATGCACCCTATACCAGTGGGCGAGTATTTCCGTTAGGCCCCGAATAAGGGCGTAGGCGAGCTACTACCTGTGTTGTACCAGAATGAGCCGTTAGGGACTGACAGTAGAAACGTACAGCTACATTTTTGCCATTGATGTAAAACTTCCTGCCACCTAGCACGTGCCTATTCAACTCCAACCCTTCATGGTCATCACCTGCCCGAAAAGTCCAAGCTGACCTCCTACCCCCTTTTAACACGCACCCTCTACTCCTCTGCCCCGCCTGACCACGGAAAGGTAAAGGCCATCACAACACCCACGTGGTGGTTCACGGTTCGGCCGCTACGCGCTCTGTCATCAGCGCACAGAGCCCGTGTGAGAGCTGAGCGCTTCAGTTGCTGGTTTCGGTAGCGCGGTGGTCAGACATGCGCGTCGGAGGGACACCTGTGGCGTCCGAATTGTGATAACTGTGTAAGCCTTCTCGCCACTGAAAACACAAATAATCTGAGAGTGTCACGTGGCTGTAAGAATCCTCTGCTTTGAATCGTGTTGATACGGCGCTCACGAGTCAACAAACACACGGCGATGTTGTACTGATAATAAACGAAAGTCTGTTATTGTAGTGTTGCCTGAAGTGAGGGTTGGTGGTTGGGGGCAGGGGTTCGTTTCTTTTGGGTGTTTTTGTGTCGCAGTGTTTGCATGAGTTACGGGGCCGTCTGCTGCACCGCTCGCGGGAGCCGTGGCCGCAACTGGCCGCCACCTTGCAGCCAGCCAGCCGGCAACTTGTCCTCGCAGAGACCAACAACGCACCCGAACTGATGGGAGTGTATGAGCACGCCCAGCTCGTGATGCATTGGGTGAGTTTGGTTCTTTAGGCCTTGCCTCCAGTAGTTATACCTCTCAATCCATCTGTATGACAATCAGAGTTCATATTCAAAGGATTTCGTTGATTATATATTAATTTTTCGACGTTTATTACGTCGCGATGCTGTTAATACATTCGCCGAATGGTACGGTGATTGATGGATGATGATTTGGAAAGAATTTGAGGTATGCCGAATTTTAAATGAAGTGGTCGTGGCCTAATTTAATTATTATTCCTCGTTTGCCTGTAGTTGCTGTGAATATCTTCATGATATCTGTTGTCCGAGCAGAGATTCGAAATCAGAAACCACCGAATGTGATCGGGGAGCCTTATCAATTGCTGCCCCGCACAGTGACGTCATATTCGAGAGTTTGGTCGATTATACGTTAACTTTTCGATACCGTATTAACTGTTGAGATCATGCGCTGTCGGGTGGGATATATTTGTATAATTATGTATAGGAAAGTGTCTGTGTGGCAGTGGTCGTGGCCTGTTGCAGCATTAGTACACATTAACACTAGAACGCCAGTGAGCGTAGCCGGTTCCCGAGTTGGAGTTCGAACAAAGTACATTAAAATGCGAATTTGATTTTTACCTCTGTGTTAACCCGCTAATATTTTCGGAATGTTCCCGGCTCATTTCCGTTCAAGGACTTAAACTAATGAATGAGGTCCTTTTGTGTTTTTACTTGGCATATTCATATAAATTTGCAAATAGAATCTGGAAATAATCCACAACCGCCTTCTGAACAGGTTTTCCTTTATTTTACCTCCGGTGATATGGAAATTATTGCTCGAACACTGGGGTTCGAATCCCAACTCGAGGCATGAATGTCTGTGCGTTTATTCTGTGTTTCTGCTGTCTTGTGTGTAGGTAGAGGCCCTTCGACGGGCTGATCCCCTGTCCAAGGAGTACTACAGACTTTCTATAGGATTACGAAGCTAAAAAGAAGTGGCCAGTGCCCAACAAAGGGCTGTAGAGCCGTTGATGAATGTTAACGCGCCGGTGAATAAGCCTAGATATATTTCTAGAAAGCCGTGCTGTGCTCAAGTCACCAGAAGCCTTTGAATATACACGCCTTACCGACTAGTAACCAACCTTGCGGTAAGAGAAGTCTTGTGTGTTCGACGAGAAATCCGATAAAGATATTTTGGTTTGTTGCAGTATTTCAGAAACGGATGATTTTCTAATGATGATGTCACGTGGAGTGACAGAGACGTAAAAATAAATGAAAACCGCATTCTTGCATTTTGTTCACATTATCACGACTCATAATCCCTCTGATTCGTATATATAGCTTACGTACTTGTCAGAGCATCGTTAAAAAATTAAACACGAAAAAAGAGTTCAACGCGCTAACTCGTGTATTCTGGATGAATCACTAAGCGATATTAAATGTAACATTACCTCCAGATATGAAAATTGGCAAAGCACGCTTTCTACGTATATAAATCTCTAAACCATCTCTAAATTGTGAACCTCTCTGTATCCCCCCCCCCATCGTCATCCGCCACGACGTCCATTTGGGCCCGTAAAATAATTGCCTTTTTATACGAGTTCAATACAAGTAGAATTACCCGCTCTTCCCCCAGAATATGGCGCTCTTCTCAATATTACAGTATTCATGTAGTAGGCAGAGAGGAGTGTTGTTTTGGATTTGACGCCGTGTAATCCGGTAGAACTTCGCGTACCGTCCTACGCGGCGTGACATTCCAGAGGCTAGCGCCCTTGTTAGTCACCACAATTACTAAAATTTAACGTTCGGATTAAGAAATTTATTGTGAGACTATTTTTTAACTTCTCGCATCCGTAACTGTGAAGAATATCGTATGACGGTATTTGAGACCGTGTATTCTGGTAGAAGTATACCGGTAGTTCGGGAAGAACTTTCTGCCTCCATCTTCAGAGTCACAAGTAAAGCAGGAAGTCGTTTTTTATGACCATGAGGATGGAGGCAATAAGTTCCTCCGAAATGTCTGCAAATTTCAGCCTGAGTACACGGCTTCGCATCCCGGAAAATTACACTCATCGTAGGAAATTAAAGCGTGTCCTTGTAATTGAAATAAACGTTTAGTTATCAGGATTTGAATCCGACCCAGATCTTTACCGCAGTAAATCCCTGTACGGTGCATATTGATAAAAACACGGAAAAATTTTCAGAATGTCTTCGGTTCTCTGTTACGTCCGTTGTAAGACAGCGAACTTTTCCGCTTAAATCCTAGATAACTTGGTTCGGAGGCCCCATGTCAAGCCACTGTTTATAAACCATCATAATGGCTTCACTCTCACACTGCCCCTATCAGAAGGAAGAACGGGCGAAGCCTGGGAACCTTATAATAAAATTATGTCTTTTCGCCACCCACAGCAAAGGGACATAATTCTGTGTAACTTCAGTACAAGAAATTCACGCATGCTCTCTCGAGAACACGTACAAGTCATACCTCGAGTAAGTGACCTTACGGAAGAAGTATCCAGCGTCTGTGAGTTCTCCGGTGCGCGATTTTGGTTCTTATCGTTTAATCTAGTAATATCACAAGAGGCATCTTCCTTATTATACAAATTTGTAGTGAAAAAGCTATCCATGTAACAGACCGTGGAGGCCCATAGTGTTTGTGAGACGTCGAGGCTCCCACATTTTCTAGATAATCGTCTCACAGATGACGGTGAGGTTGTCAGCCTTACGCGTCGGAAGCCCTTTACCCCTCAGGAAGATTCCTGGTACTCATTTCTGTTAGAGGCTGAGTCGACCCGAGGGCCATAATGCGGCTGGAAGGATTAGGTCAATTGAAAAATTCATTGACCATATCAGGAATCATACCCACGACCTTCCGGCTTGTAGGATATTGCCTGAACCAAAAATCTATGAAGTATAACTAGTGTAGCAGGAACAAGTGAGAGTTTTACGTTAACATTTTTCGGTCACTGTTGGCCATTATCAGAAAACATAGTCAGCACTACAAAGGAAGTACAGTAGAACTTGGTTATAACGTCATCAAAGGGACCTAAAAATAGTGTCGTTATAAACGAATGTCGTTGTAACCGAAATGGGCACTTCCACAGTAGCCTTATGTTAGTCACGTAAAAATCTACCAAAAACCGAGTTAAAATGTTGCATTTTTTAGTGAAATACGTAGTTAAGTACAGACTAACGTAACATTAACGTGGAATTGCCCAAATGTGTAATATCAAAGACATATTACAGCGCTTTTCACTGACAATACACACCGCACTAATACTGTATATTAAAGGTAGGCCTACTCACCAAATTACAGTAGATTACATCAATTGTTGTGCCTTACTGTACCTAGATACGAGTACAGTAATCAGTTATCTTCGTCTGTTTCCTGTTACTTGCCCAATACACACTTTCTAAATTACGTTCAGTGTCCATATCAGAGAAATTGGGGAATGAAAATGACGTTACATACGAGGTTCATGCATTTGTGCATGTCGTACTAAGCAAGGTATAAAAACAGTTGCTTTATGAGGAATTAGTTCGTACCATTGAATATTTGACGCAATAGACAAGGTGTCGCAGAAACCGATGTTGCTATAACCAAGTTTTACTGTACTTTACGTCTGTACACAGGCTGTCACTACAGTAGCATAAACGGACTTGCGATAGTTATAGAAATATAGAAATTAAGACTAATAGTAGTTGATACAGTTAAAAGAAGTTGTTATTGTCAAGATTGCAGGAAACACTCGCTAATCCAGATTAATTGGGGACGGAAGTCATTCGGATTAATAAAGTAAAAAAAATATTCCTAAAATAAAAAAGAGACTTAGAAAACAAACAAATTGAAAATGTAATAATTTAGATAGTGCTGATGAAAATAAATACAAATATCACTGCGGCAATTTCTTCCTGCGCCAGAAGCTGAAATCCAGGGTCTCCTTCAGCCAGCTGAAGCCAATCTTGGATATTCCCTTCCATGGTTTCAGTCTCTCCAGCTGCTCTCAACACAGTCTGAAAGTCCTCTTGCTTCTAAATCCCACGTGTCTTTTTAAAGTGCGTACTCACATGTGAACAGAATTTATCATTTTTCATATTTCGATCCGGACTGATGAGGATTCGCTGTTAACTGACTGGAACCACTTAAGAAAGGATTTTGTTGAACACATAAAAGAAAATGATGACTTGCTTTGTTTCTCCTATCGATTACGTAGACTATTATGCACACGGTAGCGTAGTTGGTTGAGGCACTATGCTACAAGCAGGAATGTCTCGGGTTCGATTCCCGATGAAGTCATTGGATTTTTCAATTTATCTAATCCTTCCAGCCGCATTATGGCCCTGGGGTCGACTCTAACAGAAATGAGTACCAGGAATATTCCAGGAGGTAAAGAGCGGCCGGTGTGTAAGGCTGTCACCGCCATCTTTGAGCCGGTTGTCTAGAAAATGTGGGAGCCTCGATATCTCACAACCCTATGGGCCTCCACGGATGGTTACAGGCTTAGCTTTACCTACCTTTTAGTATATCATATTGACTGTTGTATTGTAGGGCTGTGTGTCCGTTCGTGTTGTGTTGCGCTTAATCCAGTGAGGTACGGAATAGTGTGACTTTTCCTTGATGGATTTCTACTGCTCGAAGAGTTCCATCTTGTGGAACATCCCGGAAGATGGAACTCTTCATGACCACGACCGCCAGAGCACGAAGATTCTAGTAGCTACCATACGTTTTAAGAATGTAGTCGCTTTCCACTGGTATAAGAACCATCACCTTGGCTTTTCCTTTCACCATTTTGTCTCCTCTTCGTACTTAACATTTGCTTATCGTACTTCGGAGGGAATTTGTGCAGGTTTGATTGAGGCAGTTGGGGAAGAGTGTCTGGAGCAGACTGATTGTACCAGCAGCTGAATCCTCAGATGCCAGTGAAGGGGGCATTTGAAACATCAATTGTCAGAAACTTGATGGTGAGACAAAGAATAACAGATCACTGTGTTGATGTAAATCTTGTTACGTAAAACATAAAAGATTTTTTTAGAAC